CCTCTCTCCTCAAAACCCCTCTTTCAATTGCCGTTGCTGCCACCACAATCTTCTTCTCTGGGTTGGGTCGCAGTCAGTTGACTACAAGAGCTGAGCCAGCTGTGCTGCCTATGGTTGAGACGTCGGAGAAGGGAGAAAATGTAAGTTTCAACGAGGAGAGAGAAAAAAAGCTCGAGGAACCTGTTGCGGCGAACTCAAATGATGTCAAAGCATTGAAATCGTTAATGGAAGCAAGAATCAAGAACAAGAAGCTTCCAAAGGTAGTGGAGGTGTTAAACAGGTTCATTAGCAACATGAACCCCAATTGTTGAAAACACTCAATTGCATTGTCTCAAGAACCATAATTCCCAAATCTACCTATTTATCCCAATTATAGTGAAATTTGGTGAAGGAAATACAAATTGAAGTTGGGAGAGTTGTTTTAAAGAGAAAAATCGGGGAAAAATAGTCAAAAGGGTCAAAATAGCGATTAGTAGCTGTAAGGTGGAGTCCAAAGACGGAAAACCCACCGGAATTTTGAAAAATGTGCAAATATGAGGTTTTGTTTTTTTTTTTTTTTTTTTTTTTAAATTTAAGGGGGTGTTAAAATAAAAATAAAAATTAACTGGTGGTAATTTCAAAACAGGTCTACTATTTGCACATTAAGACAAATCTAACGATATCTATAATAATTATATTCTCTCCTACATAGTCGACATTGATTTTCAAGTTTCTTCTAGTCACACAGTCGGCATGTATATAAATAATAAAATATGGCAACTAATTGACATAAATTAAATAACCCACTTTTTATTCTAGCTTATATCTTAAAAAGAAATGAAAATGCACTCTTGGCCCATTGTGTTGAGACTATGTTGACCTTCAAACAAACAACCATGGGCCATGATCAAGGTGCTTTCAAGTCTATATTTGTAAATGATTTGATTTGAAAGTGATTAAAATCCTAAATTTTAACTTGACCTAATATTGAAGGTTTTTTTTTTCTTTTTTTAACAACAATATTGAAGTTTTTGCAATGTCATAGTTTACTATGAAGTACTAGTAAAAGAATTATAAAAAGAAAAAAAAAATGATACCAACATATATGAAGATAGAAAAAAGCTACAAATTTCACTAGTTTCTTTTATTTTTAAAAAGTATTATTGAACACTATTCATAATTTTATATTGGAGAATCTAATATTTAGACTACATTATATTCAACTGATTTTATTTGAATTAATATGATGTAACATGTACATGAATTTATCTAACATTATTATGTCTTATTAAAATTTATTTTATTATATATTGTATATGGATAATCATTATTAAATTTTTATTTGAACTAAATTTTTTAATACTTATTTAATTTGATCGGCTGTTGAACCTTTATTATCTGAAATGATAATAAGATGAACAAAATAAGGCGGTGGCGGTAATATATTTATCAATGGCCAAAATTATGTTTTGGAGACATAGATTAATGTAAGGGTTGGTAGCTTTGTTTTGATTCTCCGGGTGTTAGGCAGACCACCCTTGATTAAGATGGAGAAATTAATGGCAATGTTGGGAGGAACACATGACTTGTAAAAATAAAACCAATATTAATGCAAAGCTTGTAAACTCCTTTATTTTCTGCCTCAATTTTCTATAATCAACATAGTAAGTTTGAAGCTTTTAGGAGACAAAGACACACGTCATGTAGTGACAAGTGGGCCAAATTAAAGTATTGTAACATGAAATTTGACAATCCAAGAATCAACCCTCACTTAAACATGCATCGAATAAGGAGGAAAATATCAAAATATTAGACATTAGAAAGATAGAATTTCAAAGTAATATTACTAATAATACATGCTTTACATCAAAATTCAGACACGGTGTAATCTATCTATCTATCTATTACATAATACTAAAGGCGAAATCAAGAGAGATACTTGGCAACAATATATATTTAACTAAGTTAGATTCTGTGCCATGCACGGTGATCGTTATAGATTATTAATAGATAAATATTATAATTATAAATTAGTCGAGGAATAATAAAAGTATGTAATACGTTAAATTTTAATTGTAGCTACAATTAAAAATAAAAGTAGGCAAAAAATCCAAGCAATATTTTTTTGTTTGTTATAAAACAGATCACAAAATATTTTTAAGAATATAATTTTTGGTTTATAGTTGTCCAATTTTCTGTTTTAGAAAAATTATTTGTGAAATATTTTTACTTTAAATATACTACATTAATATGGAATATGCACCATAAATAATATTATTTTTGAAATTGATTTGTTTCCTTAATTAATAGATTTTTTATATAAAATAATAATAATAATTAAAGACACACCAGGAGATGACACGTGTCATTGCTGGTGTGTCTTTTAGTATATAATATTGAAATATTATTGATACACAAAGTTTCATATGTGGTTGGGGTTATTTTCTTCTGTTCTCTCCCTCTTTTCTTCTTCTAAGTAGTTGGGGTTATTTCTTTCTCACTCTTCTCTTTTCTTTTTCTCTAGAATTTGAATTTTTTTTATGAAGAGATAATCGTTGATGAGAAGTTAAGTTCGAATTTTCAAGGTTGGAGCTCCTCGTTATTGTCGCCGGAAAACGAAATTTGGCCTTTTTAGCCATATTTAAAGTGAAATTCGAAGGCATTGTTAATTTTAAAGGTATTTGTTCGATTTATTATTATTTTTATTATTTTTTTTACGATTTGGTTGTGGGTTCGGTTGGATCTATATTTGTTTGTGGGTTCGATTTATGGTGGTGGTGACATGGCATATTGGGGGTAGGGCTAGTGGCGTATTGGGGGTGGTGGTGGGTCAAGGGTTACTAGGTCGAGGGTTACTTAAGGGGTTACTAGATGGGTAGGTGGGGGGTTACTTAAGGGGTTACTAGATGGGTTACTTGAAGGGTTACTTAAATGGGGTTACTTAAGTGAGGTTATTTGATGGGGTTACGGAGGGGTTACTTGGAAGGTTAGTTAAATGGGGTTACTGACATGACACCTTGCCGCATAAAAAACGTGCTATAAAATTTTCCCTCCAATAATAGTTGCTAAAAAAACAAGGAAAATTTGAATTTTAGTACCTCAAAATTGGGGGTAATTGAATTTTAGTACCCATCTAATTTTTTTTTTTTAAATTAGTACCTCCAAACTGACAAAAGTATAGGTTTCAGTACCTCCGTTACTATTCCGTCTGATTTGCCGTTTGTGGGCCCCATGTCAACGGCTAGTTTGTTACTTCCCTTTTTTTAAACCACGATTTTCTTCATTTTTTGCCCATTTTTGCTGCTGTTTATAGTGAAGAATCAAAATTTGTGGGTTAGAAATTCAATTAGACTTAGGGTTCTTGTTAATTGCTTAATTGCGAAGCTGTTGGGAGGATTGTTCACGCATTTGCTGAAGATTTGGTTGGCTGAAAAAAAAGGTCATTTTGTTCATAATTTTGTATACGAATTGTTATATTTGAAGTTGATTTGAGTAGAATTGTGTTGTATTTGTGGTTCATATGATATTGACATTGTAGTTTGTACTGCCAATTGTGTGTTTATTTGAATAATGTTGATGTAATTTGTATTTTGATGCTGTAGAAAAGTTAGGGTTCTTTAATTTGGTTAAATTGGGGATTTTTGGTGTTATGAAATTAATGTTGCATGTGTGTCATATTTCTAAAATTGGGGTTTTTTGTTGCATATGTGTATTTTTATTTGCAGAATGGCTGAGGATAGAGTGGTTTTCAGATATAAGTTCTTGAGTGTAGTGATTGACATTGAAGTAGAAATAGGTAAAGACAACTTGATGGATAAATGCTTAGAGTGGGAAGACCGTTTGCGTGAAATGGACGATCCAGTAGAAGGATCTATAGATATTTTGTTTCCCAGATTCCAGTACATTTATAAAGGGAAATATAGGGATTTAGAGGATGATGGGGATGTGTTCAAAATGATTAGGAGGCTTGGTAATAAGGACATCTACACCATTCATGTGGGCACCACTGATGATCCTGGGTTCTTGGCAGATTGTATGTGGGAGTTTAGGCAGAAACAGAATGGGAATTGGCCACCCCCTGGCTATCCCTATAATGGTGCTCAGCCACCAGTTTAACAAGGTTTGTGTGATGCATGGTGTGTCTAAGTGGTGTTGTTGTTGTAGTGTGTTTTGTCTAATGCCCCTATTTTTATTTTGTTTGATGTTTGCAGGAGTCATAATGTCCTGCAATACTGAATCTCCCTCTAAACTGAAGAAGTGTAACTGTGGGTTGCCACTAGCAAGGCTGACATCTTGGACGAGGGAGAATCCAGGGCGCAAGTTAAAGGCTTGTAAATTTTGGGATCCAAACACTGAGACAAGGGGTTGCAAATGTTTTGAATGGGTTGACTTAGAGCAAACTGAGTGGCAAAGGGAGGTAATCAACAACCTCACTCTTGACAAGAAGTTAATGAAGTCTGAGATGAATTCTTTGCAAAGGGAGGTTGATGATCTTGTTGGGCAAAGGAGGTGTTTTCTAAATGAAGTTGACACATTGAAGACTAAATGCAAGGCCTTGTCTGGTGATAGGAAGAAGATGACATGCAACAATGGTAGTGGTGACAGGCTTCAGTTGACTGTAGTTGTTGTATTTTGTGTACTTGTTATGGTTTTAGGAGTTTGTGTAGTCATAAAACTTATTTAGGGGAGGGTGATGAATTCCAGGGTATTATGTCTAAGTATGGTGATACTAATTTTCCTACTAATTATGTATGGTTCTTAATTGTAGTTGTATTTGTGGTTTGTATTGAACTTAAGTTATATATTGCACTTTATGTATGTATGAATTTCAAAAAATATTGGCCTTCAAATATATGTGCTTCATTTATCTAATAAAATAGAGTCATATCATATATACATAAATATGTCTACTTACAAGGGACTAAGTCCAAAAAGTGACTACTAAATATATAAGTTCATCAAAGTGAATACATAATGGATACTGTCAGAGAAATAGGTTCAACAATTTTCAGAAATTGCACTTAATTTTTTTTCTTGCTTGGCCTTGTTGCTGTAGTATTTTTTGTTGTTGTTGTGGTTGATGCTTGGCTGCAGAGGTATGGCTCAGCTCCTGCACTCTGCCTTGACCTTGTATTAGGCCTTTGAGAAGGTGCTGCTTGTGAGGGTGCTGATGCTCCTTGAGATGCTTTTGCTGCAGCAGTTTTTGAGGATGCCTTTGGTCCTTGAGATGCAGCAGCTCCTGCTCCTTGAGATGCTGCTGCTGCAGCAGCTGTTGAGGAAGCTTTTGCTGCAGCAGTAGCAGCCTTCTTCTTAGCCTCTTCTTGTTGGAACTTCTTATTGGCAATGCTGTTAGGTCCTGCTGATGCTCCAGGAGTAGTCTACAAAAATTAGGGGATGTATACTAAATTAAGACAAAGAAAAACAAACTAAATGACACATAAATGAGAAAAATTTCATAAATAACCTTGTTTAAAGCTCTTGCAGCTTTGATTCTCCTCTGTTCTACCACCCATGGTGTGTTTACAGCAGGTTTTCCCATAGAGTTAGGCTTGGAAGAAGGCTCTTTCACTTCTGCAGGCATATTGGAGCAAGTTTTTGCATAGTGTCCAAATTGAGCACATTTTTGGCATCTCTTCTGCCTTTTTTGTGAAGTACCCTCAGCTGCATCTGCTACACCCTCTCCCTTTTCCTTCTTTCTCTTTTTGGATTTAGGTCTGCCAGGCATGACTCTCACAGGTGGTGGCAGTGGCTCCCTTAGTTGAATCTTTTCCCAGTGTTTGGGACCTGGCATAGGCTGTACTGGCAAGTCATATGCCTCTAAATATCTCTCCCTTGTATAATAGTGGTCCACATACTCTTCTGGATCACTTCTCTTGTCTAATATACAAGAAAATCCATGCACACAAGGGAGGCCAGTTAATTGCCAGTGGTAGCATGTGCATGTCCTATTTTGAAGGTCAACAGTTACTTGGTCTGAATTAAGGTTGACCTCATAAGTGTCATCCCTAGAGACCTGCACTATGCAGTGCCTAACCACCCTCTCCATTCTCTCATACAGTTTAGTCACATAAGGCATGACTTTTCCTTGAATTTTTTTCACACCCTCCCACTTGTCATTGTGTCTTTTCATTGCATACCTCCTTAACCATTCCATTTGGGTTAGGATAGGTTTGTCCTTAGCTTCTCTAATGCAAGCATTGAAGGTTTCACACATATTATTCAATAGCATATTAGATTTGCAATTAGTTGAAAAGGCATGCCTAGACCAATGTTGGGCAGGGATGTTGTCAAGATATTCATAGGCATCCTCACTAAGGAACCTTATGGATTCCATTGCAATTTCAAAATCAGCCTACAATAAGTGCAAAGCAATTACATATAAGTATGCTTATAAACTAATCACATCTGGATTTTCCACAAAAAATGACAAACTCAGCATTCAAACTGAGCAAACACAGTGCCCAGTCATACTTTAATGACAAAATGAGCATTCATAATGACCTCACAAACTGAGCAAACAAATAACACATAAACTGAGCATACAAATAGAACAGGGCATATATTAGCTAACATACTGCAAGAACATAACAGACAAATCAGCATACCCAAATTAAGCTTGCAAACATAGTCAGCATACTCATATTAAGCCAGCAAACAAAGTCAGCATACCCATATTAAGCCAGCAAACTTGTTTACCAAAACTGACCACCTAGATGGTCACAAACTGTTCACAACTAAACTAACCACAAAGTTATGCTTATAAACTAATCACATCTGGATTTACCACAAAAAATGAGCTAATGCCATACTAATAAACAAACAAAGAACATAGCATACCCATATTGTAGCTCTAGCAGCATTCCAAAACAACTCTTTGAATGTGGACCCTGTGAACTGTAATTTGAAGTTTGCCCATATGTGTCTCACACAAAACCTCTTCTCAACAAAGGGCACCACACCTCCTCAAATTCCTCTAGAAGGCCCTAAAAACACAAAAATGACAATTATATGTGAGTAAACAAATAAAACACAGTCAATTCAAAATAAATGCCACAAAAAGTCACTAAATTGATAGTTCACTAACCTTCTGCCTATCTGACATGTAAGTGAAGCCACCTCCCATTGCCAAGTCATCCAAACTTTGCTTCAAACACTCCAAGAACCAGCACCAAGTTTCTTTGTTCTCCACCTCTACAGTAGCCCATGCAAAGGGGTAGATGCTGTTGTTCCCATCCTTTCCCACTGCCACCAGAATCTGACCAGGGTAGGAGCCCTTCAAAAGGCATCCATCCACCCCTATTAAAGGCCTACAGCCTTTTAAGAAACCCCTTACCAGTGGGGAAAGACACACATACATCCTCAAGAATAGTGGTGGCTCTAGCCTATCCAATCCATCAACCACCACATTCACTACAGTCCCTGGGCTATATTTCTGCACTGCCTTCCCATAATCCCAAACTCTAGCATACTGTTCAGAAGCAGAGCCATATATCATGAATTTAGCCCTACCCCTGGCTAACCATGCCTTGTAGTACCCAATCTTAATGCCCAAGTCACTCAAAACCCTATCCCTAAAGCTGTTTATCTTCCAACTAGGGTTGTTTCTCCACTCTTCCACATATCTCTCAGCCAAGTACTCTGCTGTAACATTGGCATTCATGTTGCTCCTCATACAATTGTGTTCCAACTTCAGATCTTGGATTTGCCAAGCACTACTCTTGAACAAAGGCCTTGCAATGACCTTATACTTGCACCTCCTCACTTCCTCACTGCACTAACAAATAGGAATCTTACTCCTCTTTGAACCCCATTCACAACCACATCTCTTCCTGCAGAAAGTGGTTAACTTCTCTTTGTTGTTGTGTAGAAAATAGAACTCATATCTATTTTCAATTGCATGAGTTCTTAGTGCTTTCCTAAGCACCAAAATGTTAGTGAACTTCTGATTTTTCACCAACACAACAGGTTTCTTGAAATCTGTATCCTCCCTAAACCAAGGACTGTCATCTATGTCCTCATCAGAACCATGCTCACTTCTCAGCTCATCATCATCAGTTTCTTCTTCATGAAGCTGTACTTCACCCTGCCCTAGATCTTTCACCAGTTGATCCAACTTCTGCTTACTCCCCTGCCCTGAACACCCAGGATGAACCAATGCCAAACTCTTTTCCACCTCACCTAGGATGTTAGCAGTGCTCTCACCCAATCCCTCATCTTCAGAATAACCCTCTTCCTCCTCACCTGGATTCCAATCTATGTCTATGTCACTTAAGTCCTCACTAGAAGAACCTGAATCACTCTCCTCATCATCAATGAACAGCTTCCTTTGTGCCTTACCCTTCCCTTTCCCCTCTGATTTGGCTATCCTCTTTCCCAACCCAGCAGCTTCACTCAGCTTCCCTTTCCCTTTATCATTTCCCACCCTCAATTCACTTCCTGAGGAAAACCTAAGACTCCTCCTCACTAATGGCTCACTAACTGCACTACAAGTTTCTGTTAATGGGTTGGACTGTTGCCACCTAGGGCTCCTCCTCAAAACTAATGAAGTACAAGCTTTTTTGGGAGTGTGTTTACCAGGGATTTTTTCTTGAACTTGGGGTTTACTTCTTTTTCCAGTAACTGTAGATTGAGGTGGGCTGACATTAGGCAGATTTTCAGTTTGTTTGGGTGGGCTTATGGTTGAATTTTGACTTGGGCTTGCATTCTGAGCTGGATCTGTTTGGTCAGGAGGGTTTTGCTCACTAACAGTCACAAACAACTCCAAGTACCCATCGTTATGTTTAGCCTCAAGAAACCCCCTCAAAGCCTCATCATCCTCTAATTTCCTTTTCCCATTCATCCATGTTTGTCCCTTCTCTTTGTACCATAACACATAAATGTAAGGGACTGCCTACCCCTTTTCCCTAAACCCTTCAGCACATAGCCATCTCAAGTAGCCCACTCTTATAAAGGAAAGAGGCACAGCTAACCTCCAATACACAAAACCAGCCTCATACACTTGATACTCACTACCCTTTCTCTTTCTTTTCTTAAACACAAAACCCCCAAAAAGTCTTATTTTAATGTCAACAGTGTTATCAAGCTCATCCATTTGAGATTCTAAAAATTAAGGAATAAACAATCTAATTAACCAATTTTCTATATCACAAACAACAATAACAGCAACTGTAACATGCATTACCCTACACCAATTACCATAAAGCAACAACACAGTAACTGCAACAACACAAATACCCTAACACATGCATTTGTAACATTCAATTATAAATAAATTTCAATTAAATTGATACTTTAATCCAAACACAGTAATCTAGGGTTTAATTAATTTTTTCCAAAAATACCCACAAATTTCATCAAAATTGCGCAACAAACCATTAATGGACAGTACAAAAAGTTGGGGAAATCATACATGTTCGTTGTCAGAAGAATCTCCCACTTCTTTCAATGGAGATGACGACTCCAAGATTGACCTTTCCCAGAAGCTTGCTGATGTGTGCTTTGAGTCAAAAGAAGACACCTTTGAGTCAATTGCAGAGGTACAATGAAAACAAAAAAAAAAAAAAAAAAATTTACAGCCTAGCAATTGACAATGGAGAGAGAAAGAAAACGTGGTTGAATTTGGGCAATGGAGTTATTGCATGTGGTTGAGCATTTGATTATGGAGGAACAGGGAAAAGAGAGACAAAGAGAGTAAAATGGAGGGAATTGAATGAGAATCGAAGAGAGAGAAAGAACAAAGGGAGGGAAGTTTGGTAGCTGGGGCCCACAAACAGCAAATCAGACGGAATAGTAACGGAGGTACTGAAACCTATACCTTTGTCATTTTGGAGGTACTAATTTAAAAAAAAAATTTAGATGGGTACTAAAATTCAATTACCCCCAATTTTGAGGTACTAAAATTCAAATTTTCCAAAAAACAATTACTTTACAAAAGAATTGTTTCTAAATTATTACATTTGGCTTGCATTAAATATAAATTAAACTTTCTAAAATATGAAATTTTTCATTACAGAGTATAATTTTATATGTTTTTTTTATTTGGTGTTTAAAGAGTCACAAAGGCGGGTGATGAGAATCGATCCTAGATTCACTTGAAAACGGGAGGAGGCTCTAACCAATTGAGCTATCCCTCACTCTCATAAATGGTTATTTATTAACATACTTCATGCTCCATACTCTTTAATAGTTCGTTGGTGTGTCATGTCCTTAAAAAAACACTATTCTTATATTTTTTTTGTCAATAAAATTATTGCACAACAGTGGATCTATTGTACGAGGTTTAATCTAGTTTATCTCTATTAGGTTATATCTCGTGCCATGCATTGTAATTTTCAATAACTAATTTTAAAATTAACATTGTATTAAATTTTTTGACTTAATACATACTAATTGAATGCTGAAAAATAACAAAAATGACAAGAAAAACAAACCACATTTCCATAGAATATTAATTGATTGAAATTCTAATCATAAATTATTCAAGAAAATAACAATTAATAGTATCATTTATTGAGTTGATATTCGCATTTTATTTTTGTAGTAGCTACTCTACTATTACATAATAAAAAAAAAATCAAGAAAAAAAAATCATATAATCTTGTTGTAATTAACATATGTAATACATAATATGTCTTTCTTTTAAAAAAAATTACAACAAATTATGTTAATAATATTATTTTATAATTTTTTTTGCTTAAGTTTATACTTTCTCCATTGCTTTATACATATAACACACACTTTTCATAGGATTTAAGAAAAGTGGGGATCATGTGAATTAATACAATTAAGATGAGGATGAGAGATGGTTAGGAGTATAATGTAGTGGGACATGTGATTAAAATAAGGGAAATAGTACAACTTTTAACAAAATAACTTTCTAATTTTAGTGTGTTGCAAGTATTGTGACATTTCCATTTTAGGGAAGTGTTGCAAGTATTGTGACATTTCCATTTTAGGGAAGTGTTGCAAGTATAAAGAAACGGAGGAACTGGTTGTCACTATGTTTTGTATACATCAAACCTTCTACTATAATTTATACGTAATTATTACTTTATATATGTAAAACGATTTGTTTTTTAATTAATTCTTTTGTAAAAAAAAAAAATACTAAGGACACACCATGATATGACATGTGTCATTGTTGGTATGTCTTTTAGTATATAGTTATTAACTGATTGATTGTTAATTATATAAGCGACAAACTTTTAAATAAATCGGATGTACAATAAAATATTGTACATTTGTTATAAAGTTACCCTAAAATGAGCAACAGTTACCCTAAATATGAATAAAAGTTACCTTGACATGAATAAAAGTTACCTTGACATAAATAAAAGTTACGAATTATTTATGCTTCCCTACCTTATAAAAAGTGGGAAAATACTCTTATGAATAGTGTTAAGACTATTATATCCTTAAAAAAGTTAATTGACATATTTACCACCAATTAAAATTAATTTTGATGCATTTAAGTATTTAACCTTTCGTATTTTTGTCCTCTATTTCTTTTGTTTATCTTCCTTATCATTCCATCGAAAAGGCAAAAAAACCTCATTTCTCAATTTCCTCTTTTCTGAAGAACTCTTTTTCTAGTTGCGGGAAAATACTGCTAACATGCCAGTTTCCATTCCCTCGATCACCACCCACCGGGGTTGGATAATAAAGCTACAAACTGACATGTAAGAGTAATACGTACATTGGTGAGTTATAATCTATATGATCATTTTCAAAATAAATAATCATAACACAAAACATGTTTCGACAATTAAATAAATTAAGATATAATCTCTTATTGACTATCTAAGACAAGTATAATTCAACACCAACTCAAAGTACGTAAACTTTAAGGTTCGAATTTATAACTCCCCTACGGTGGCTAGCTATATCGTGCGCATCGCGCGCATAGGATTCCCTAGTTATTAATAAAAGTTACCCAAAAAATTGTAAAAGTAACCATAAATTTAATAAAAGTGACCACTGATGTACAGTAAATTACTATGCACTGGATGTATACAAAAGTTACTCTATATATAAGCATAAGTTAGGTTACAGTTTTTAGAAAAGAATTTTCTAATTTATGTGTATCTTTGTTTTTCATATAAAACAACTAGGGGTGAAAGTTCGGTTTTTGGTTGCGTTTTTTGCCCAAACCGAAATCGAACCACAATATTTCGGTTTTTAGATTTTGCAAACCACACCGTACCACTTTAGCTTTGAAACCGAACCAAACCAAACCATGTAAAGTTCGGTTTTCTTAAAAAAACCAAACCACATCGAATTTGCCTATTAAGAATCATAAACATAAAATATTGCAAAAAAATGAACCAAACCACACCAAACATAAACCGAACCAAACAAAACCAAACCGAACCAAAACCCACAACGACCCAACCAACCTTATTTCATCACCCTTCATCCCTTCCACACAAACCCTAACCGTAGATCGACCCAAAACTACCTACCACCACCGCAATTCAAATTTCAGTCACATACACACCACCATAAAAATAAAGTAGAAAAAAAAACTAAAACCTCGAATTTAGGTTTCAAAGGTCAAAATCGACCATGAAAACTCTAGATTTAGTGTTTTCATGGTCGAATATGACATGAAAAACCTTTAGTTAATGGTGTTCGAAAGGAAAAACCTTTAGTTGATGCCCT